CCTCCTAAGTAGAACAAGCCTTGTGTGTGTGTGCGTGGCAGTGAATCAGAATCGTTGTAAACGCACAAACGGGTAAAGGAACACATCTGCCAAGAGTGGCTCAATTCCATCAGAGAGGAGTGCCCTTAGGATTTACGGCGTGTTAGTCCGTGCCGGTGCAGGCCGGTACATGCACAATTATTAGACTTCATGAGCCAACAATGAACGCTAATTGGAGGCGCGTGCAAATGATAATAATTAAGAATTCACGTGCGCATACCACAGTGGTGGAGTAAGGCTGGCTACACCTCCCGCACCGAGGGGACACATTCTAGCAGGTATATTGGCGTTTGTTTCTTTAACTGGTAGCTGCCAATGCAGTTACTACGCCACTACCTAAACAAGATGCTTATACTGGTAGGAACCTCCTGGTTACACCAGCCCACAGGGGATTATTGTGTCCGTCCGTCGTGCATTAAAAAATGGGAGGGGTGGGGCTGGGTGGAGAGGGGGGGGGTGGGGAGGGGCTGGGTGGGGAGGGTGGGGAGGGGCTGGGTGGGGAGGGTGGGGAGGGGCTGGGTGGGGAGGGTGGGGAGGGGCTGGGTGGGGAGGGTGGCGAGGTGCTGGGTGGGGAGGATGGGGCTGGGTGGGGAGGGTGGGGAGGGGCTGGGTGGGAAGGGTGGGGAGGGGCTGGGTGGGGAGGGTGGGGAGGGCCTGGGTGGGGAGGGGCTGGGTGGGGCTGGGTGGGGGGTGGGAGGGGTGGGGTTGGGTGGGGAGGGGCTGGTCACCCCGTGGTGCCCTTATAAAACTCAACGTTTAACCTACTCACGCCGGCTTGTGCCCGCCCTCACAGTCGGCCATATTTGCGGAATACACCACGCCGCCGTTGACCCTGGCCATTGACCGAGCAACCCAACGTTCCGACCAGCTCCCTCCGCAGGAGGAATGTGTTTGAGTGTCTTGAATTGATGGTCTCAGCCTGGTCACCAATGACTGCATAACACACAAAAAACCCACCATAATTTTAAATGTCTTTTTTTCTCTCTCTCTCTCCCTCTCACTTGATTTCGCTTATTCCAGCCCTTGAGAATAATATTGTTTGATTTGATCGACATGCAACAGAGAGTCTTCGCAAGGCTAAATGCTCTCGTGCCGCGAGTGTCGCTCGCGCCTATTGAAGTGACTCCCTCTGGTGTCCTTCCCCGGCACAGTGATCTCCATCGGATGACGGATACTGAATTGCTTATTTCGTCGGATTACATTTATTTGCTCGTTCCTTCACACAGTGATTATTTGCTGCGTATATACATACATAGTTGGGACATTTTGGCTTACGTGGGTGCCAGCTCGGCGGAGCGGTAACACCCGCGCCTCTTAGCAGGAAGGACCTGGGTTTCATACCTGAATGAGTCGGGCGCCGTCCTGTGTGGAGCTGGCGTGCTCTCGCCCTGTTATGCTGCCATGGGTTTACTCAAAGATCTCTGGGTTCGTTCCGTCGTCAACAAGAACCCCACGCGGTATCGGCCAAGCATCCCAATTGCGCAATTGGGATTAACCATTGCAACAATGCCCCCCTACTGCAACAACAAAAAAACATGGCAGGAGCCTCTCGACTAAAAGAGTCTTGAGACTCAGCGAGGATCTTCCTGGGCAAACAGGCATCGTAGTAATCATAAGAAATGGCGATGGTTCCTGCAGGGACTTTAATGAGCTAGTTAGGGCCACCAACAGTTGCGTAACGAGCCTGGGGGGCAGGCAGGAGGTCCCTTGCCCCTCTCCTTGGTGGCCAAAGCTACGAGTTGGGGCCCCCTTGACAACCACCATGAGATGTTTTCAACAAAAGTGTAAAGGAACAAAAGATATTTAAAACGCGGTTTAAACATATATTTTTATGACGTTGCTTTCCTTTTACGTTTCACGTTTTATTTTAAATTAATTCAAATCAAATCTTGGAGCCCCACGTGACCGATTGCCGCACCCCCTGAGTTGATAATGTCGATACGTCACTGGTTACTAATCACAAAGTGGTTGGGTTTTGAACTAGATTTGGCCCAGCACTGTGATATTGATTATAACAAGAAAACTCACCCTGGACTTGGCAATACTGGAATGTATTTGAACTTTCTAGAGGTTGGTAGTTGTAGTCATTGTGGGGATAACTTCTTATCTTTGGTTTATTCTGATACAATGCAGAGGAAGTCGGAATTTGGTGTGTTCCCGTCATTTAGTAATGTGACTGTGACATTGAGTTGAGGCACCGGTGGGAAAACATAACCTTCTCAAGCACCTACACTACAGAATGCTGCTATTCTCCAGAGGCATTGTGAGATGTGTGTGTGGGGGGGCGGGGGGGGGTGCTCGGGTTTAAGTAGTCTACCATGTCAGGAGGTAAGGTTGCTTTATAATTGGACCACATAGTTCATCGTTTATGAAATGTGTGCAGCAGTTTTGAAAAGTTTTGTCAGTACATACACAGATATTGTTAAGCACAGTCGACTATATACTTATATATACTTGCGTGTGATAGGACGGAGAATGACAGAAGGTTGAATTGGGAGATAAGATACCGCTGGAACAGCCGCTACAATACCGTCTGCTCCACTGTTCTTGTGAATTGGATAAAAGTAGTTTCATTACGCGTCATTTACGTGCGGTACATGATTCCACTGCAGATAGCCCTGACACATATATATATACACACACAGAGGCACGTGCGTTATGATGAACACTTTGACAATGATCCAGTAAACTCTGCAACGTTGAGCCAACGTTGACATTCTAGATTTGAAGCTTTCGTGACTGTAAGGATTCATATTCTTAGGTTTTTTCGGTAAAGTCACGTAGGTAAAAAATTAAAATTAATAAAAGTAAAATAAAAATAAAATAAAAATCACGACGTTTAGGAGGCAACACAAGCTTCCGTCTTCAGGTGGAACAGTCACAGCACGATAGCTGTATCAAGTGAGAGGCTCTCACTGAAACGTCGTGATTTTTATTTTATTTTTATTTTACTTTTATTAATATTAAATTTTTACCTACGTGACTTTACCGAAAAAAAACCTAAGAATACAACGTTGACATGTTGTTGGAGCTCATGGCCTAACGTTTGCATGCGGTTGGAGCTGTTGGCACAACGTTGGCATGTGGTTGAAATCGACGTGTGGTTGGAAAGTGTTCCCAATATTGGCCCAACGTTGGCCCAACAATGATCCGTCTTTACTGAGTGCACTGTGCAATAAAAATTAAGTGGGTTATGAGCATCATGCCACATTGCAGTTGTTGCCTATTCACACAGTGCTGTGGCCCTTATTGGTCCTCAGACCTTCACTCAAATCAAATGCTATGAATTGGTGTTACGAACAAATGCAGACAGGCTGAGGGTCGGATATAATTATTTTAACCATCTAAGTCATGTAGCAGCAGGCCCAATTCGCCACCCCATTTATTTCCTTTGAGCCAGTATTCATTACTATGATCAGGACACACAAAGTAAGGCAATTTGGAATTGCAAATGAGCAGTATACGTTAAACCTCAACGCAGCAAAGGTGCAGCCCTGCAAATGCTTACTCACACCACTGCCGGCGGAATGGTCTCCACTGGAGGGAAAGCTCGAGAGGGGATCTTGGTCTACTCTTCTATGCCCACCAGATATTTCAGAAGAGGTCGTTTAAATGTACACATGTTAAACAAAACAATTAAGGATAAATTAAGCAGTGGCTCTGAACGTGCGACTTTGTATGGCTGTGTAAAGCTCTCGTTCCTGTTCCTGGAAGGATCTGCTCCACAGTTTGTCTATCACTGCATCACTGCTCATGTCGAATTTGCTCAAATATATTCACATGGTCACTTTCGACAAGAGGACCATAAAGCAACTTCTTCAGGAAGTGACGATGAGAGTTTTACATGCGCACAAATTGCTGCGTGCATTGTACACGTGTTTGGAACAACAGCACCCATGGAATGCAGATTCGAATTACATCCCATGTACTCGCAATCGCTGAGCACATGTGCATAATGCGACGGGCAATTTCTTGGCAAATTGACGGCACGGGAATATAATGTTCACATTAAATTTGCACTGAGTGGAATTGCCTTGCCTCTGCAATATTTTATAGGCGTTTTAGTGGCTCTCCCTTTCAGGTGAAGTAAATGTCTATAATCACCTTCGGTGTGTGTGTGTGTGTCCATGCGTGTGTGTGCTTGTCATGCTGTGTGGAAGCTACCAGGCCCATCGCTCCATACGAAACTCCGTGTCTTCTCGACTGCAATTATGCCCTCCCTTTTATACGCTTGTGAAATGTGGAGTCCTTTAAATGCATATTTATGCTGGTTTGAAACATTCAGGCTGGGCTGCCTATGATCCATCCTGGGTTTAATTAGGCTGGATTGTGTAAGGAGCTCACCGAATCTTGAAAAATCTTATACAGTCACATCAGTGAGCTCCTCCAGCAGGTGAGGCTGCGTTGGCTGGGTTATGTAGCACACATATCCAGCCACTGCATGCCTAAGCAGCTTCTGTTTGGCCATATAGAGGGGGCTAAATGGACACAGTACGGGCTAAAGAGAGATGGAGCTGATGTGTTACAGAAGGATGTGGAGCTGATTGGACTTGCCGATGACGAGTACAAGCAGTGTCAAGGTCGGCCTCTGTGGAGGAGGCTCGTGAAGGACACTACTGGGTAATTGGAGGAATTCGCCCTCCAGTAACAACGGAGAGCAGAGGAGCGACGCTTGTGTTGAGCGGAGCACCGGGTGGAAAAAACGCAGAAATATGTCACAGTGGGAGCACAGTCATCTCATTCAGTCAACCCTTTGGCACCTGGGTCTGTCCCGTGACGTCCTGTTAGCGAGCCTTCGATGATTCACGTGGCTTCACGGTGCATCTAGCCTGGCACAAGCACTGTGGTGACATCACCACTACTTAGTGGAAAATGGCAATTGTTATTGTTATTATATGTGTGTAATCCATGTACTGTGTATGTAATGTACATATTGTTAATATATTTGGTTTGCTTTACAGATCCATCCTGTGAAAAAGTCAAGATGAACATCTTCACCATGAAACCAAATTCAAAAGTGGTGGTGGACATTCCAAAATCCTCAGGGAAAAGAATTTTTCCAAAGTTGTAGTGAGCATTCGAGATAATCGCAGTATGCACAAGGACAACTGAAGAAAGTCTGAAACATATCTACAAAATAAAATATTTAGCAGATAAAAAAAACTTTTCAAAGCATTTTTGAGGGAATTTTTTTTTCTAATGGTGTTCAAAAACATTTCCAACATAGACACGCAGTTCGAATACACTTTGAACAGCTTTGAATTTCACGTGATTAGTGTCAAGCATTCCCATAAAGTTTGGAAGAAAAGTAAATATCACGCTCTGTGCCAAAAGATCCAGAGGGCATTAAAAAAAGCACCAGTAAGCTTCGAGCACGAGTGAACGTCTTCGACGAATTGCAAAGAGGCTTTGATGATTCCTTACGAAGCGAACACATGGACTTCCACAGCCACGTTCCATTGATGACGTTTCAGTTTCTGCATCATGCGTCACGGATAGAGCCGTCGGTCCGTGGTTCCTTGGTGTTTTGCGAGCAGTGACCGCCTGTGAAAAATCGCCCTTCTCACCCTCGCCGGAGCAGGCCCGGGCACCGAGCATCATTCTCCCTTTGCGTTTAATGTTCGGCGTGGACGATGGCGTAACGGACGGCAGGAACGATGTCATGGCCAAACGAAAGAAGGGAAGTCATCAAGAGTGAGCGCCCTCATCCCTTGCTCTGCACCGTCTCGACAACAATGCATTGTTACGCAACTCAACAGCAACCGTCATCATTAGCCGCGATCGACCTACTGCTTAGTGAAGTATTCTTTGGTTCTTTCGGTAAAGTCACGTATAAAGATAAAATAATAAATTAAATAATAGCATACGACGTTTCGATTGCAACACAAGCAATCATCATCAGGTATAATGAAATAGCAACATAAAATCTAACCAGAAAACTATAGACAGACATATAAGCAGACAGATATCACCAAGATACATAGAGAGAGCAACACAGGTACAGAGAGGGGGGATCGTCTCTGTGGGGTGGCCTTAAATAGACAGAGGGGGACGGAGGTAGAGAGAGGGAGGGGTTAGAGAAAAAAATTACATGTCAATGAGTACGAAGAGACGCGTAGTGAAGTACGCAGGCTTGAACATTAGGAGAGAGGGAGAAAGAACACACTAAATTAAATAACCTAGCAAAATATCGAAATGTTATGTATTACGACACAGAGAGTCGGTCAACACACAATTGCTTAGTGAAGGTCTCCCCCAGAGCCGTCACCATGTCCTCATTATCCCATGATGGAATAATTCAACTAGTACCTTCTCTCACGAGCGGATTTAATCACTCGGTTTTTGATGGACGAAGTCTTCGATGGGTTCCATTCCTTGGCTGCCACCCCTGCCTTATTATTGACCATCGGTCACCACAACATAATTATTTATTGTTAAAATATGTGTACATGCATAACATTCCCAATGTGTATTTATGCATTCATTAGTTTATTTGTAGGTAGCAGAGACACGCATTTATTTGCACATACATACGCATGGCGTGTCGTTTATGCAGTTTTTTTTTTCTAAGAGGGGTGCACCAAATAGCACTCTTTTATCAAATATCAAATGCATAATTAAGTATTCAGCCGGATTTTAACTTGAAGCTGAATGATAATTCGAAATCTTTTTCATCAGTCATTACACTGGCAAGCGCCATCAATGAATCAGACTAATGTACGGTTAGGGTTGCAGTCACGCAGCCAATGCTCCATTCCTTACCTCCCATTACACACCTCCTCTCTCACCTTAACTCGCTGCCCTGTGTCACCTGACGCACATATAACTTTCTCCCTTCCCTCTCGCTGACCTCTCTCACCATGCATCCAAATTGTAGAAACGGTATTCATTTTCCCAATTCAATTTCCATTAATTATCTTCGAATGTTGCTGTGAAAAGCCTCGGTGAGAGTATTCATCCTCGCCTTACTTGTGACTTCATGCAGTCTCTGTATAGCTGGCTCCATCTTCATAAATGCATTTGGTTATTCCTATATATTTTATTTGTATTTATTTGCAAGAGCAAGGGTGGATGCATCATTTTCCATTGAATAAAACATTCCTGTTTATAGACTACAAAAGCCAGCTACAATTGTATTCGCCATTCATTTTCCAATTTTAGAATGTGTTAATGGTAGAATTGAAACAGAATTGATAAAAAAATATTTTTGCTGAAATTCAGCTCAATTCAAAAGCGGATATAATATTTGGTGCATGCTTAATTATTGTAATATTTAAATGCAACTATTATTGTGCTGATAAAATATATACGTTGTTAGAATATAACCAAAATGTGTTCCACCATCCAGAACGTCCCTCTGTGTGATGACACACTAAGCCATCTAATTCTGATCATGGTGTACCATAAGTCTGTGATGGGTTTAACACTGTTGATATATAAACACATGAACGTGCGTATGCATATTTGGCTTCACGACTGTTTCCACCATTTCAGAATGTATCCTACAGAACACTTTGGCTGCAATGTTAACCACTAATCACAAAATTGTGTTCAACATAAACCAAATTACTAACGGTAGATATTTGCATACACGTTCACTTGGACTTATGTTGATATGTATATATGAGCGAGCTGTTCCCGAAGGCTTATGTCTAATGTTCTCTGGTTAAAAACATGTTGATATACGTTCGTGGGAACGTCATGAACATTTGGATATTTCAAATTATCCGTGTCCCTTCCTTGCACTTGTGCCAGCATGGAGCCAGGGCCAGCTTTACAACGGCATGAAAGGCTGTGACTGCCCTCGAATAGTTTTTGGAACAGCATCGTGCACTACAGCAGCGTCATTAACAAAAAAGTGTTTGCTATGCAGGCCATTGTTCAAGAGTGGAAGTAGAGTGGATGGGGCAGCACGGTGCAAATGGTCTTTTGGTGTTTCGAGGCTCGTGCCGCACAGCGCGGATGGCTTTGTACCGTGCAGATTTCTAGACATTCTCGCCAAATACAAACTTTCAAAAATGTAATTTATTATGTTTAACACGTAGGCTTTATTCATAATTTTTTTTTGTGGTTAGATCGCGTAAATATAAATGTGCCGTTAACCCACCGCCACCTGACAGCCAATTAGTTAGGTTTGTCAAGTAAACAAAAAAATGCCAATTAGTTACTATGAGAATAGGTTTCCCCTTTTTTTCTGGCAGCAAAACAGCTGTGTTAAGATGTTAAAACACCAAACTGAAACTTTTCACAAGGAATCATGTCTGCTCTAACACCTTTTGAGACGAGGCTCCAAAGAAAGCTGTCTCTGGTGTGGATCAATCAGTTTCAAAGACAATGCATGTTATCAGAGTACGTTTTTTGTTTGCATTCTGACCACAAGTATTGTGGTTAATGCTGACATGATTCCTTGTAAAAGGTTTCAGCTTGGTGTTTTAACATCTTAACACCTGTTTTGTTGCCAGAAAAAATGGAAAAACCTATTCTCGTTTTGGTACTGGCAAAGGAGGCCCCGTGAAATTAGTTACTAGTTCAGCACACCGGTGTGTTGGAGACTAAACCCACAACATTTATTTTTTCACGATTTCAATATAAGTGGCATTGCTTCTGGGGCATATATCCCACACGTTTATAAAAGCTGTAATGTAGCGTAAATTTCTATTTTACCTGGCTACAGGGGCCCGGGAGGCTTAGATGAAACGGGACGCAGAGATGAAAGAACGAGAGCCAAACGGTGAGACGCTCACGCACCGCACGTCATCGCACCGACCCACGGACGGGCACAGCGGTTCGCCCAGCACGTGGCCGCGGAGTGCTGCGCTGCTCATCCATGTGGCTTTTTAAGAGGGGCGGGCACAATCCACCTTGTCACATCGGCGAATTTCATTGTCACCTTTGTTGACATTTTTCACCGGGTGAGAAATGTATCGCAACTCATCGTTTGTTGTTGGTTGTTGCATGCTTGCCCCCTCCCTCCCAGGAGAACACGTTACATATTTATTTTGTTGATATTTTTTGGACGTTTAAGATTCAAGCTCGTCAGCATCATCAACGTCTTAATCAGCCACGATCAATACGCTGCTGGATGACTTCCCCAAGCCGTAGCCTGTTACGGAACTAGCTCCTGCACACACATTGATCCCATCACTCCATCTCCACAGCGAACGTTTCCTCTTGGGCGTGTTCCTTGGTTTTTGGTTTTCCACTCAATCGTTGCATCAACGTGCAATTGCACACAGTACTGTTGTAGACTTATTTTGTAATTGGGTAATTGATGAATTTACAATTGAAAGTTGATCCAGTAATGCCAATTTGAGACCTCACCCTCGTTGTCGCAGTGCCAGTTGTATTATACGAGTGGTTCAGAATGGCCGTCTGCACATTGACAAAATCTGCTCACCAAAAGTTAGCGCTTTAAACAACCCCCTCCCCCCCATCCACACACCGTTTTCTTGATAATTGTCCCAGGTATATATCCACGGTCAAGTTTGTGTCCTCGATGGATCTTCTCATAGCTCAGCTCAAGGGGTGCCCGGCTCCCAGCAAGTCATTTAGCCGGGGGGTGGCGGACGGACGGACGGGCGGGGGTGCAATTTTTGTAAATTGCGGCAATTTCGGGGCGAATCTCCGTAAATGAGCGTGGGGGCGTCTAGGCGCAATCACCGCCGCCGCCGTGGCCGCTCTCTTGATTGCTGTCGCTTCGACGCGTGCAGCGCTCAGCGCATCCGCTCGGAGAAGAAGCGGCGGAAGCAGTTCAACGAACTCATCAGCGAGCTGGGCGCGCTGCTGCCCGATGGCCAGTCCCGAATGGACAAGCCCACGGTGCTGCAGAGGACTCTCCACTTCTTTAGCAGCCACCACGGTGAGTGTCCCCGGGCAGTGGACACGTGTGTATATAACAAACTTGGCACGGACGACGGCGTGCATTGTTGCATCGACACCCACGATCCCAACGCCCGGCGCCTCTGTTGCCTATCAGCTGGCAGCTACGTTGCAGCTTCAGTTAGCACGGTTGGCTACGGACGGTGCGAAAGACGGTCAACGTAGATAGACGCATAGTTGATGACACCAGAGAGAGAGAGAGACACGACAGATGGTTTTCCCGTTTTGTTCCGATCTTCGGCATCTCTCACGGGAGAGTCTCGTTCATACGTTCACATTGCCCCACCAACTGATCCAACTCCATCCCTCTTCCCTTCCATTTTCTCCCGGCAAAATCATCTTCACAATTTCTCCAGCATATGCAACCTTTGCGGAATGTACCCGCTGGGTTTTGGATTGATAAAAAAAACCCCCATAAAAATCTGGGCCCACATACAACATTTTGGATGATCCCAAAACGCTGTTCTGCATCAGAAAGTCTTGATGCCACGTGCATTGACTTCGTGTCAAATTCACGTCCGCGCTTTTCCTGCCGAGCGTGGTGTGAGCACGTGGCACACCGGGTGACGTCACTATCGCGAGCACCACGACGCGTTTCAGTCGCGGTGACCTCGTGCGGACGGCTCTGAAAAATTAGGAGAGAAAAAAATGTTGTTCCTTAAAAATATCCCAAATATGTGTGTGTGTTCAGCTTCAATTCTAGATTTGAAGCTTTCGTGACTGCAAGGATTCATATTCTTAGGGTTTTTTCGGTAAAGTCACGTAGGTAAAAAATTTAAATTAATAAAAGTTAAAAAAACGTCGTGATTTTTATTTTATTTTACTTTTATTAATTTTAATTTTTTACCGACGTGACTTTACCGAAAAAACCTAAGAATGTGTTCAGCTTCTTTCGCGCCGTACGTAGCCGACCGTGCACAATCGGAGGTGCGGGAGGACAGCAAACTAAACACGACAAAGTTTTCTTCCAATACTCATTCCTTCCACCTTCTGAGAACGCGTGTCAGTAACTCCTGCGATGTAACCGTTCTCTCTGAGCACATGTGCATGTAACCTCCCCCCCTTATCCCACCAGCTTAACGCGCTCCATTCTTCTCTAACGACACATCTGATGTCAGTTTGTAAATGAACCCTCCCCGCCTTTGTTCATTTTGACGACGCATGCAAGGTGTGAAGCCAGCGAGTGATGTCATATACACTTAGAAATGTGTACAAAAAGCAAAGATCCCCCGTATAGCCTTAACAGACTGTTCGGCCAAGTGCTGTTAGCGAGCGCCTACGAAGGCCGTCACCGCACACGAGGGGGTGGGTGGCTAGCACCACGCCCGTCCGCCTTTGTCTCCCCAGTGGCAATGTTTACTACGCACCGCACTAGGTACTTATTTGAGACCGAGTCGACCTAGGGGAGGCCCAGGGCCGGTTCAGATAATCGTCACTGCGGTGTCGGCCGTGTGCGGGAATCGAACTCGGGCCGCCGGGTTCTTAGCGCAGCGCGCTCACCGCTACTACACCACCGCTCCCCATATCGTGATCCACGCACGCTTTTTGATGTGTGCCCGTGTTCTTCCTGACTTTTGTGCAGTCCATTAAATATCACAACAACAACAATCACCAGCCATTGTTTATCCACTGCTGGATGAAGAAACTTCCCACACCCCTTGGTGATGAGCCTCTATGATGCCACTATTAATCTCACCTGTGTGCCGTCGCTGATGTCACCGCTTTCGCGTTCGCAGCGGTCATCTTCCTGGGCGTGTTCCTTTCTCCCGTGGCTGCCATTCTGTCACCGGTCTCATCACGTGCACTGCCTAAGCCCACTCACTGTACTTTATTGAAAAGTCAACACGATGTGTTTAATATGCGCGTGTTCCCTGATCCATGTGTCTGTGTGTGTGTTTAAAAAAATATATTTGTGGACAGGGTGTTCCAGATATCTTGTCACCCCACCCCCGCAATTTATTTACCCCGAACAATGTTCCCTTTGCATATTCATTTCTGTTTTAAATAAACCTTACGTTAAAAGGAAAAAAAAACATTAAGTTTTAGAGATTTCAATGGGAGTCGCAAGACATCTGGACCATCCTGTACAGGGAGCACTCATCTTTCCCCGCTTGTTTGTACACTTTGCAACGCTCGTTCCATGTTCTTTGTCAGCGTTCACCTTTCTACTCCATACTTCATAACCGGCAAGATGCACCGATTGAAAAATAACAAGTATTGTATTGCAATGTAGGTTAACAAAGGTAGCAGAGTTTGACAATGTAGCCCAGTGGTTGGTTGCATAAAACATATTGTGTAATACCGATGCGTCGGTTTGCGCGGTTGTGTTGCATATCTCTGTGACGTTTCTGGGCTGTGCCACGTGATGTCTGACGTTTCCCTCCCAGCACGTGCAGCGAAACATCGGGCATTGTGCCCAACAACACGCAGAACAACTCAGAAAAAACGCATCGGACAGCTATCTCCTCCTGCTCGTTTCCCTGTCGGTTTCCCATCATGCGTTGCCTGCAATAGCTGCCCCTTACATGTGTCCCCTCTCCAGAGCTGAACGTGGAGCAGGAGACCAACGAGCCTCCCCCGCCGTGGAAACCAGCTTTTCTCAGCAACGACAACTTCACGCAGCTCATTCTCGAGGCAAGGGGTCAAATCTAGAATTAAGGGGTCGCGGTTTTCGAAATCGCGTTTCGAAGATCGCAGGATCCGCACAACGTGGAGACGATTGTTTAACAACAACAGTTTAACACGTAGGCTTGTGCGGCCAATATCATCCATAATACAGGTTTCTTGGGTTAGATCGCGTAAATATCTAACCCAAAAAACCTGTATTATGAACAACAACAACAGCAACCAGTGGAATGCATCGCGAATGCATGACCACTGCGAGTAACCCCCGACGGCACGAGTGGTATTTACTCACACACCGAAGCCTCCAGTTGGATTTTCACCCGATCTATTGATGCTACTCAATTCGTATCCATACGAAAAACATTTACAAATTGTTTAATAAAATAGTTAAATAAAGGGGAATTCTGGATCGTACATATTTGTGAACCTCCCAAACCTGCCTTGCTACAAGTTGGTCAAGAAATGGGCAGTGCAGAAACATATTATTTCTATACTCTTTGGTTCTTTCGGTAAAGTCACGTAGATATAAAACAAAATAAATTCAATCACGATGTTTCGGGCGCAACACAAGCGTCTGTCATCAGGTGGGACAACCACAGCAAGAAACAATTGTTTCAGGTGGGACAACCTACGTGACTTTACCGAAAGAACCAAAGAGTATCGATCCCTGCAGTCACGAAAACTTCAAATCTAGATATTATTTCTAATTATTCTGTGCAGAGCTTTGAGTGTTTTGTGTTGGGGTTTTTTTCTGGGTACTCCAATTTACTCCAAGATGCCAAACAATGGGTTTGAGCCAAACACCCCAAGGCTAAGCTGTCTTGACACTCTGTGGGGCTCAGAGAGATGTGATATGAATGTCTGTGTGTCTGTATATATGTGTACGTGTGTCTGTCTATCTATCTGTACACGTGTCCACGTGGATAATGTTCCTTTATCCGTCCTCCCGCAGGCCATGGACTGCTTCGTAATTGTCGTGATGAGCAGTGGCGAGATCTCGTTCGTGTCCGAGAGCGTCACGTCACTCCTCGGTTACCTGCCGGTGCGTAAGGCGCAGCGACCACGCACACAGCTGCTCTAACATCGCGAACATTGAACGTCACTCTTGCCTGGAACAAACTTAATTGTTTGGCGAGATGTTAACTACCTCGCCTGGTATACCAGAGGTCGTGGGTACGATCCCGACCCTCACTTCCGTACATTTGGAGTTAGCATGTTCTGAAAAAGAGCTATATAGCTCAGTGGGCCTTACCTGGTAAAATATTTTTAAAATTTTAGATTTTAATTCCAGAAGAGTAGCAAAGAGTACTAACTATGACGCGACTGTTGTGCCTTCCTCTGCCCCTCGTTCCGCCTTTCCCGTCACCACTCTCCTGCTCTCCACCTTCTCTGCCTCTCCCGCGCTGTCTCCGCTATTGCGCAGAGTGAGCTCCTCAGACAGAACCTATTCGACTTCGTGCCGGAGCACGAACAAGCGGAACTGCGTTGCCTTTTCCAGGCTGACCTGAGCCACGTGCAGGAGGGACCCCCCGAAGCCCCGCAAGGTGTGTGGTGACCGTGCCGTTCGGCTTAAGAGCACGGTGGTGGCGTGCAGCCCGCGGCGCCGGTGCCAACCGGGCCCCCGTGAGCACCGGCGGTCCAACCGACACTCCGCGAGCAATTTGAAACATCTCATTTACCAGTGGCAAAATGTAGTAGTAGGTTTTTACCCTTTCAACTGGTACACTTGTGTTGTGGTTATTGCAAACATGATGCCTTGTATAAAGGTGTCAGTTTTTTGTACCGGTTGAAAGGGTAAAAACCTACTACTATATTTTGCCACTGGTAAAGGAGATGTCTCATAGTGTAAATGCTTACCCCGAGCTTTCAATACTCTGATAGTGCGCTGTCTTTGAGTTTGACGCCTATTGGCGTCATCTGGTCCAACACCAATGGAGACTAGGCTCTAAGAAAAGCTGTCTCGGGTGTGGACCAATCAACTTCAAGGACAGTGCACATCATTATCATCATCAGAGTTGTTTCTTTTTGTTTGCATTTTGACTGCTTGTGTTGTGGTTATTGCAAACATGATGCCTTGTATAAAGGTGTCAGTTTTTGTACCAGTTGAAAGGGTAAAAACCTACTACTACACTCCGCGAGCAATTTGGCGAATTGGTTTGCCGTTGAACGCGCCACCGCCGTGACGTCGCGTGTTCACGGAGCGTGACTGCCCACGGCGAGTTGGGAGATTCCCGAATATGGTACCGCGCTCTTAAGGAGAGAATGCCACGTAATGTGATTTGCATTCGCATTCTTGGCGCGTGTGTGTGTCCGTACATCGGTGGGGGTTGAACTGCCATAGAAGGGGAGATTTGAAGGTGACGCAGGGCAGGTCTAATTACTACCTGGCAGTTGCGTTAATTCATTATAGTTTCACATTAAGAGTCACATTAAGATGAACCTACTGTTCCGTTACACCCTGGGTTTTTTTTCTCTCTATAAGGGTGAACTTGCCAAATCCACGTGCATTATTACACCCATGCCTGCTTCCTTTATTCTGGTTGAATGCAGTAAATTTTAAAGCAATTTGCCATTCACATTTAAACAAGACAGCAGCTCGCAATGACCCAGTGTTGCAAATTGTCTAGATTTGTTTTCCCTTTTTCAAGTTAGCACACGGAACATTTCATCCTGAAGACGGCGTTCTTATTTGATCATGTTCATATGTTATCATCACGATCATCGTCATCATCAAAAGTGTTGTGTGCCAAGATAGTAGATACATGCACGTGATGCAGCACTTTGGATGCAAGGGTTGGCGGATCATGAATGATTTGTGAAACTCCTAAGTCTACTCGGCTGTGCGTTGGCTCGGAGATGGCAGTACAGTACAACAAGTGAGTTTGTGAACCCATCCTTGTTCAACTTTTGAGTGCCCGGAGGATATACACACGAAATACCACCCTGATTGGTCATGAACAGACTTATTGTGCCAATTGCCACGTATGCTTAACTGGGTTGGCTCACAGCTATAGGCAGGTCATGCACAATGTCACCTGGACCTCTACGAGGCAGACGCAGCATTAAATGATTCGAGCGTTGGGAAGACCAAGGTAGCCACGCACAGTGATGGATCACCTTCCCGTGTACCGGGCAAGCTTCAATGATCATGGCTAAATCAAAGTGGGTTGTATCGTTCGTAGTGAAGGGTGTCCAGGGTGTAACTTGATACCCTAAACGAGATGTTACATCTCAAAAGATGATATACAGGTTAAAAAATTAACCCGTAAAAACAATGTTTTTCACTATAAATCCTTTATATGCGTGGCGGCTAGAGTCCTCTCGTCCTCTGGCTTGAGATGGCTGCCACCTATGGGTCAGATGATTGCCTGCCACCATTAAGCAATTGGTAATTAAATAAAAAAAAAATTTCCTAAAAAGTGTAAAATTTTGGAAAAAAAATTTCACGAAAATAAATTGTCACGCACAACGAGTCTGTGTGCAAAATGTCAGCTCGATTGGATCACGGGAAGTGGGTTAAAAAACGACAGAAATATTTGCACCGTCGTAAGCGCGCAAGCAAGCAAGCAAATGAACTTAATATAAAGGATTAAAAAAAATGTTGAATTAAATAAAATGCATACGGCAATGAAAACCGGTTACAATCCGAATAAGTTACTTCGGATTTACTTAAAAACACACAAATCGCAATGTACTTATATTACTGATGTCGATGATGGCTAATTAGCATGCACCCCCAACAGTTTTGAAGCCTCGATGGGGAAAAGTGTTTTGTGGATGTTCGCCAACGGCACTTTGCCCCAAGTCTGTCAGAGGGTTGTTACATGGAGAGAGGGGGGGGGGGATGGAGGGGGGGTCGGTGGGGGAGGGATGGAGGGGGGTTCGGTGGGGGATGGAGGGGGGGGATGGAGGGGGGGGTCGGTGGGGGATGGGGGGGGGCGACCTCTGCCCGTGTCTCGTGCGTGAACGCAGCGGGCGCTCCGAGCGAGCGCCACTTCGAGCTCTGCTGCCACCTGCAGCGCGGGGAGGCGCTCGCGCACTTCGCTGCGGGACCGACGCCGCCTCCGTCGGCACCGCCGGCGGCGACGCGTCTCGCCGAGGAGGAGGCGCCGACTTACGAGCGAGTGAAGCTCAGCGGCTTCCTGCGGCTGCACCTGCACGACGAGCAGGGTAACAACCCGGGCAAACCTCGGGGCCGCTCTGTCCCCAACCCCTGCACCACCACGTGGAGGTGGTGCAGGGGCAGAGGTCGCAAACGGGTTTTGATTCCTTACCCGTACCCGTACCCGGCCGCACCAGGGTCGCAAATGGGTACCCGTTCCCTACCCGTACCCTACCCGAAATGATTGACAAATGGTTACTCATCAGTGACTCACGGCCTACCCGTACCCGGCCGCACCAGGGTCGCAAACGGCTACCCGTACCCATACCCGGCCGGGTACGGGTAGCCGGGTATCGGGTAGGGTACGGGTATCGGGTACCCGGTTGCGACCTCTGCTCAGGGGGCTAGCGGTTCACGGAGGGAGCGAACGCACCGCCGAGGGTCCTGGGTTCAGTTCTGGGAAGCCACCTTGCCTGGTTTAAATAAAGATGTTGATCCTTCGGGCGATACTTATTACATGTGCGGCCCTCGGGGCCGATGGAAGGTGCCTTCTCAGGTTTGATTTCTGTAGTTCTCTCGGGCTACATACATTCAGAGTTCATCTTCTTGGTTCTTTCGGTAAAGTCACGTAGAAGGGAAGAAATAAAATAATAAAAATAAAACATAATAAAATCAAATAATTCTCACGACGTTTCGGCTACAACGCAAGCAGCCGTCTTCAGGTGAAGAATGAGACACTGCCAAGCTAGGAGCTTATATATAAGCTCCTAGCTTGGCAGTGTCTCATTCGGCTGCTTGCGTTGTAGCCGAAACGTCGTGAGAATTATTTGATTTTATTATGTTTTATTTTTATTATTTTATTACTTCCCTTTTACGTGACTTTACCGAAAGAACCAAGAAGATGAATCCCTGCAGTCACGAAAGCTTTAAATCGAAACATTCAGAGTTGTAGAGGGGTTACTCGTCCCCGTTGTCCACCGTGGCAGACGTGTGCATTGCCATCAGCTGACAAACCTCTGACCCTCTCCAGCAATGGCTTTGCTCGCCATGTCGCAGTGTTACCGTCGTGACATCACGGCGAGGTGGGTGGGAGTTGTTTTGCCCGACGGAGTGTTTTGTAACTCAGAATTCTGCCCTTGAGAAAGAGACTTTTAGTCTCAATGGGTTCTCAATAGGGTTTAATCAATATTTTGACTAATTGGGCTATATTGGCCTGAAATGTCACGCAGATGATGCATACACAGTAATTGGCCCTTAGCAAATTATTAGCCCGTAGCCATAAATGTTGCCCGCGTATTAGATGCATTCTGCTGGTCCTGCTACTGCTTTAAGAGTGTGTGGCTTCTCTCAATTAAGCCACGAACAACTGATCATGCCTCGTGACCACCTTGAGTAGCGAACATTCTACACGCGACACGGCCTCAAAGTGCACGCACCTAGCCTGGCACAATCACCGCCAAATCGCTTGCGGCGAATGTCAGTGCGATTGCCGGCGTTCCGTCTCCGCAGCGGAGGTACCGGCGGAGCCTTCCCTGTCCGAGGAGGCATCGGCAACAGCGGAGCCAGCGACCACCCCGGGGCTGTCAGGGGAGTCGCCGCGTCCACCTCCCTGTCTCGTCGCCTCGGTCCACCTCGTCACGTCGCAGTTCATCAAGGTGCGCCATCTGCCCGGCGGCTGGGGCATAGGCCCCTACCAGGGCAGGCGCCAACCGTTGACAACAGTGGTTGTTTAGTAACTGCAGCTACATACTATTAACATTCCTTTCCTTTGCTAATGCTACTCCCTGCACCCTCCCTTGATGCTGCTGATCCTGCATAATGCATGGGCATAATATGACTTTGAAACCCCCCCGCCCACCTCCTACGCATTTCCCATGAATATGCTAAATTCCTCTTGATATGCACATTCTTTTTGTTAAGGTGCTTTTCTTCCACCTCCAACCCAGCTTATATATAAGCTCCTAGCTTGGCAGTGTTTCATTCTTCACCTGAAGACGGCTGCTTGCGTTGTAGCCAAAACGTCGTGAGAATTATTTTATTATGTTTTATTTTTATTATTTTATTACTTCCCTTCTACGTGACTTTACCGAAAGAACCAAGAAGATGAATCCCTGCAGTCACGAAAGCTTTAAATCGAAAAGAAAATTAGTTTAACACGTAGGGAGGCAGCGCTTTCGCGACCAATATTATCGGTAATCGAAGGTTTTTTGTTGTTGTTGTTGGGTTGGATCGCGTGAATATAAATGTGTCGTTCAGCCCGTCACCGCAATTATGGCTGTCGTCTGATGGGGGCTGGTTGTTATTACCGGCAAATCGTACTCAAATTGTAAATGTTGTGGGTTTATTCTCCAACACAACGGTGTGCTGAACTAGTAACTCATTGGCATGTTTTGTTACGTGACAAACCTTACTAATTGGCTGTGTTGGGTGGTGGCGGGTTTAACGACACATTTATATTTAGGCAATCCTACCCATAAAGCCTCTATTATGGAGTGAAAATTCTGTCAAATTGGGTGTCATTACCATCTTGGCAATTATACATTTTTTTCCGTTGGGAAAATTCCGATGAGAAATTAATTGATCAGAAATTGTACGACAAAATTTTTGTAAATGTTTTACTGAAATTCGCTGTAAAAATCGGACACAATCGATGTAAAAAATCTGGTGAAATGAACAAAAAAAAATTGATTATGAAAAAAAGATTTGACCTAAATTTCCATAGAAATATAAAAAAAATTAATTGTGCATAAAAATAGGTGTTATAGGCTGCTGCAGGTCACCAACCCACAATGACTAGCATGGTGAAGTATCATCAAACTACCCCCAAGACCCACATAGCATGGTAGAGCATTCATCCTGCAGTACGATTGACAGAGGGCTACGCATTTATATGCATGCTCATGTATATAGAATAGAAATATCAGCCTCCTCATGTTGTTCTCTGTGCCATCTTTCATCCCAAGTCACCCTATAAAGGAGCTAGCTGTGTTGTCACAGTGAGGTTCTGAGTCAGGTTAAATGACAGGTTAATCCAGGTTAAATGAAAACCAACTAGTTTCGTGATTTCTGTGTTGGCAGTGGTGCACAAGCCACAAAGACTCGACACATTCATCACTAACATTGCCTTAAAATTAAAAAACAAATATATAATAGGTGAATTTTTTGGTAATGTCCTTCTTCGTAGACCTATGTGCTATGAATGTGTTGCGCTTTGGTTAATTGATTGAATCGTAAGACCCGGTCGACATCCGAGTGATAAGTTGGCACAAACAAAATCGCCCTCGAAATACTTACTCCTCTTCGCTCCCTACGGAGCATAAGGCCGCAACAAGCCCACGCCATGCAGTGTGCAACTTAATCATCACGTGCAACTGCTTTGTCCACACCTGGGCGAGAAATTGTGCAGCAAGCATCGTACATTGCGAATTATGTGATTGTAACATCCAATCGCAGGTCGCAAATGTGCACTCGAGGAAATGCATCGCTGCAATTTGCTGGGCATATCGATTCCCGAGAGTCGAGTCTGCCTCGACTGTGAACAATTTGTTGCGGAGATGTCAGTTGCATGCAACCAAGTTGCGCAACTGAATCGCCCAGGTGTGGAACCCAGCTTAAGAGTAGATGTGTAGGAGCGGTTGAGCACTGTTGGCGCTGCCCGGCTCTCACAGGAGCTGTCCTCGCTGGAGGAAGCTGGTGCCGAGTTCACATCCAGACACAGCCTGGAGTGGAAGTTCCTCTTCTTGGATCACAGGTAACGGAGGAAGTGCCCAGCTGGTGGAAAACTTCATAAAGAAAAGCGCCATTGTCACCATCATCGTCATCGCCATCAGAAGCGTAATTGTCATTGCCATCGTCATCTGGACGTGTCTTCTGCCCCATCTCATATAATTGCTTCAAATGTTTCTCCTATTCTGTTCAGATGCAGGTTTCAAGGTTTTATCATCTTCTTCATCTTAATTTCACCGATTACTTATATCATCATTAATCATCATTAGCTGTCATCAATGAAAGCATTGCCCGTAATACCTACAGATTTATTTATTTTGTATTCCTGACCGTCGGTCTTCATCCCTTATTGTGGCGTGTCCTGCACAAGGCCACTGCTTTCATTAACGGTCATACTGAAGTAATTCGCCTGCGTAGGTTCTCTAATCCACGCGTTTCTCTCTCTCTTTGCCTCTCAATGTAATTCCAAGCAGGCATTTCCCCACGCTTGTTTTGCACACTTTTCAGGTTGTGTTCCATTGGCTTGGTTAACGACCACATTTTTTTCTGAATTAACTAACTAAATACGTACGTGATGTAAACAAACAGTAAGAAAGACACGAATTGACCGCGAACACTGCTGTCTGTGTGCTGCCGCACCTCAGGGCACCGCCCATCATCGGCTACTTGCCCTTCGAGGTCCTGGGAACGTCCGGCTACGACTACTACCACGTGGACGACCTGGAGAGCATCACGCAGTGCCACAGGGACTGTGAGTTGTATTCTTAGGTTTTTTCGGTAAAGTCACCGTGTAGGTAAAACATCAAAATTAATAAAAATAAAATAAAACAAAAATCACGACGTTTCGGAGGCAACACAAGTCTTCGTCATCAGGTGGGACCGTCACAGCCGGATTAGCTGCATCAAGTGAGGCAATGATTCAAGATGTAATCCCTTAAAAGCAAGTTGAGGAGGGAGGAGAGGGGGGGGAGCTCATCAGAATGTGGTAGCCAATGAATGGAACGTATCGGGAGGGAGGGGGAGCGGGGCTCAAAGACGGCACGGAGTGCCAACGTACAACGCATCGGGATGGGGAGGGGGGGCGGAGCCAAAAAAAAACTGTGAGTTGTGCCAGAGCAAGCGAGGGCCTGGCCCAGTAAGACATCGAACGTTGGGGCTAAAGTTAGGCGAACGTTGGTCAGACGTTGGTTTGAACCACGTGTCAACGTTGGCCCAGGCTTGCATGTTGACTGGATAGTCGCCAACGCTGTTGCACGCGTGGGACACGCTGATTCAAGCTGTTTTTATTATGAATGCTTCCCGGCTGAGGTCGAAAATTCTGAATGCAATTAGCGCCGTTAATTGTCTGTTGGTCTGGAACGAGGGGCCCGCAATAAATTTCGTGAAAATGAACCAAATCAGTATAAAGTGTCGCTATAAGGGACCTTTCTTATTCAAAACAGGCCACATTGATCAAAGGGTTACCGAGAACTTGGCGGCAAAAAAAGAGCACTCAAGGTATTATCCAATGAAGGTGAAGATATCATTAGATATGACATCACGAGACGACACGTCATGCGTGCGCCTATTATCCCGGTGAAGTGATTACGTGTGACGTCATCTCGCGACGTCACATGTCTTATGTCACGTGAAGTCATCTCTCGTTGCTTTGAGCGCACGATAATTATATACTTATGAGGACAAATGCAGTGTTACGGAATCCATGCGCAAGCATGATTTTTCTTCTTTGCTATATTTGGAATCTCAAGAGGAGCAGCCATTTGATGCTATTTTTAACTCTCCATTACATTACCGCTTGTTTGAGTTGAACATAAACTTAATTTCTACAGAACAGAGGTCTGGGGCAGCAACACAAGCATGTTCGTCAGTTACAGCAAAAACAAGTAGATCACTTTTTATAATATTGAAAATGATGATCATTCAGGTATCGATACAGTGACCATTAAACTCATTAAATTTTAATACAATAACAATTTGCCGACGTATTTCAGCTATAACTGATGTAAGAAGTTCGTGGATTTACTCTTTGATGGAATATAACATCTTTAGCTGGTGTGTAAAGTTTAGTGACCGTATTTTATGCCTTTGACTTTGAAAACAGATTTGTCCATTCTAAGCGTTTGAAAGCCCACCAGCAGATTTTTGCAAAATCAGAAAGTATAACCTCCTGGGAATACTTTGCAGAGACCCATGTTTAATTCTAGAGAGTGCACACGGTCGAACAAGTTGGATCCCAAACGCAAAACTCGTATCTCAGCAAGCACTGCCGGTGCAGGCAATGGGGCAAATCACTTTGGGTCGTGCCACTGTGTGCGAGGGTGACAGAATCCGCAAGGGCGTGCTAACGACGTGTGCGCCGCGTTTCTCCGTCTGCCAGTGAAGCAGTCTGGGAAGGGAAAGTCCTGCCACTACCGCTTTCTGACCAAAGGGCAGCAGTGGATCTGGCTGCAGACCAAGTACTTCATCTCGTTCCACCAGTGGAACTCCAAGCCAGAGTTTGTGGTCTGCACGCACACCGTACTCAGGTGCCCGTGCCCTCACCAGCATGTCAACTACTGTGTGCATTGGGCAGTGGACAACAAAACCGTTGAGAAGCCAACACACCGCTGATACGTTGGACTCAGGGCTTCATAGCAGCCGGGTCTTTTGGTGGTTCGGAAAATCTTAGTCCGCAATCTGTCAACGCCGCGTCCAGTATACCGCACACTATAGCTTTGCCTACATGCCTAATCCAGTCTAGCAGCAACCTAGAACAATTTTGAGTGACAAATTAGGCCACGGATATGAACGTATACGTTATATAAATAAGGGGCAGCAGAGGTGGCCAGGTGGCCACGCAGACTAGCACCATGTCAGGGGGCTAATAACAGCAGGGAGTCAGTGACACCAAAATCCTGCGTTCGAATCCAGACAGCCACTCGTGATTAAACTGGGGTCTCGACCGCAATGAGATGACAGTCTTAGCCTGGTCATCAAGGAGGATAGCACCAACAATCATTAAATTAAACTTGTTTTTTAAATGCAGCATATTCGAGCTCTGGGAACCAAGAATATAATTTTAATGGACAATGAATGAACGCCATTTACAGGGCATACAGTTTGCCGTTAGAGTTAAAACCATTAAAAGATATGCATTCTAAACGTTATATTTATTTTCCTTATACCGATCTCGTATTACAGCGCAGGATCGCGAGAGATGGTGGTGGCTTGTCGAGGCCATCATCCAGCAGTGGATTGATTATGGCTGCTGATGATGAGGATACTAATCACGAATGTCCACATGTTGCAGGCTGATAGATGGCTACATTGTCAGCGGGCAGCAATTCAGCAAAATCCGTTGCTGCCCATTACCGCTATGCTGCCTCAGCTATGTCCTTGCCTTCATGTACACACTCTCAATGTGCCTGTTCTACGTTTTGATTCTAATCAAGTCAAGTCAAATTGTTTCTCCGTTCAAATGAGCAACAGGGCGATTGTACTCTTAGACTTTTTCGGTAAAGCCACGTAGGTAAAAAATACAAATAAAATTAAAAGAAGTAATAATATAAATAAAATAAGAAATCATAATTTATTACTTTATTTCTATTATTACTTCTATTAATTTTCTTTTTCTTTTTTTACCTACGTGACTTTACCGAAAAAGCCTAAGAGTATGAATCCTTGCAGTCACGAAAGCTTCAAATCTAGAATTAGGGCGATTGTATACATTCCACAATTACATAGTACGGACCACCAAGTCTGTCCATTGGATGACCACTATTGGTTATTAACTTGCAAATAGGGCTTGATAATAAACATACAGCCCTTTGTCCATCCAGTGCTGGATGAAGGCCCTCCCCATGCTGACGTGCGATGTTTGACAATACTTCACCTTGCTAGTTAGTGCTGGTTGTGAAGTGGATGAGGTGGGGGGGGGGGGGTCGGAGAGGGAAGCCCAGGATTGGTGCAGACATCACTGATTTCAGTCGTGGCTATGAATTGAACTCGGCTCTCTAGGACCATAATGCAGTACGCTAAGTTGGGGGTGGGTGGGGGGGAGGTGGAGGCTGAGGGTAGGGGTGGAATTAGATTAAGCTCGGTACAATCCGGGCACAATTTTTATTTTCAGTGACTTATCCCTCAGAATGTTTTGACTGCTCCTCGTGTGGGTTTTTATTCACTAGGCAGAGGCACTCGCACTAATTCAGGGCTTAATTGGCTTGCCCCGGGGGGTTCTGTGAATGCACAATTCAATATCACACAATATCACACTGTGAAGTCTCAGGACAGCTACTCATTCGGCATCCCATTTATGATTTTTGTATGCAGAAAGCATTTATGCGAGTCTAGTGGTACGATGGATTGCCCAGATCTGGAGCACGCCTGGATTTTGAATACTACACTACCATAGAGGAAAACATTACTCACTTTAACTAAACTAAAATTACTGGTCCATAACGGTTCTCCCTTAGAGTGTTTCACCTTTAATCCCCACCGTGAGTGATGAAACAAAACATATGAATGTGAAGGGCTGTGTTTTGACGTGTTCCTCTCACCAGCAGCTATTCTGAAGTGTTGGCCAAGAGGAGGAATGTTCTGGAATTTGGGGAATTCTCAAGCGAGCTGCTCTCACCGGGGGCAGCAGAAGTGGTGAGACTTACCAACGAAACGTTTGACGTTGCGTAAACAATTCATGGTGATCTGTGAGAGGTGCCTCGACCCATACAATTTCTTAACCCCATAATTCGCACCACGATTTTCAGAACCCTGCGATGTGCAGCTCTAAAGCCGTGGAGACATCGGCAAGGGACTCGGGTCAGGGGCACTTATCGGCGCAGGCCAGGCCCTTACCTGGAACATCAAAGTCTTCCCTGCAACGAGAGACCAAGTCGACACCCCGGTCCAAGAAGAGAGCTAAGAAATCTTCCATCACCGGCGGTCGCAGGGACTCGTCCGCTGAGACTCCATCCACCATTCGTGGATCGCAGTCGCAGCAGGAGACGGCGCAACCGGTGACGGCCCAACAGGTTGCAGCACAGCAGGCGGTACAGGGATGGACAGCGAAAGAGCAGCCCCCAGGCATGGACAGCACCATCTCGTGCGCCATGGCCTCCCGCTTCCACTGCGGCGGTGATGCCGGCGCACTCAGGACAGCGGGTGTCGGCCTTGAGCCGTCATCGCAAGCTCAGAGCATTGCCGTGAGCCAACCCGCGGGCATGAGTCTTTCCCTGAACCAGTTAATGGGCCAACAACCGGCAAGCCAACCGGCGAGCCAGGCGGTCGTTCAGAACGTCGGCCAGCCGATCGGCCAGACCGTGTGTCAGCAACACATCGGCCCGCCCTGGCAACAGCAGCTCGTCGTGGGCCCTAACGTCGGCCTGCCGGGCAGGCAGGCTCTAGGCCAGAGCTCGAGCCACACCGTCGACCAGAGGCTCGGCCAGGTGCACTGTAACCCTCTGAGCCAGCCGCCAGCTCAGCACCTGCTCACAAGGCAGCCCCTGGGAGCGTCGCTCGCTGTGAGCCAGACGCCAACGCTGCAGGAGCTGCTTCTCCCCAGCACCGGCGCTTTGACCGCTGCGGGCGGGAGCACAGCGACCCCATCCTGGATGCTCGACCTGGCCTGTAGGTGACGTCCGGACAGACCTGTGAGGTCACATGTTTCTAACATTTCATTGCGAATAATTCCAGACCACGCCCTTGTACTTTGTCAAGAAACCACACCACAATTCATTTACCGTATTACACAGAATTTTACTTGAAAAAAGCTAACATTTCAGGCAGTGCTCCTACTCAGAAGAAGGGCAATTGCCCAAAAATGTACCCTCGAATAAATGTATCCATTATAAGACAGTGTTGATGAATGTGGTGAGTTTTTTTGTGCCTTTGCCAAAACAGTCCCCCAATGCTTTACAGCTGTTCAGTCACACTTTAAACGAGCATTAGATAGTAACATACACCGACACCTTTACCATGCATTCACACCTTATCCTAACCCTGTCTCATACCTTAACCACACCAGCATGCATGCTTAGCTCAATTGAACCATGTATTTATTACAACTGACACATTCACACCTAGAGCTGTGAATGTATCCATTACGTTGGCTATGAATTAAAACCGTAAACAAAATTACCTTTTCATAACCATGCATGCCTTCATAGGGTTCGGCCGATCATATCAAAAGCTACCCATATATTGATACATTAGCTCGACTACTCACATACGTTAACTCCGCATCCATAGCTGACGGTAACCGCGCCGCATGCATTGACCCGTCAACATTCAATCAAGGGTCAGAGCCAGCGTTTGGCAATCAGAGCTGTATCGGAGGCGGCAGAAGGCAGCAGTCAGTGGCTCTGGATGAAGAGGAAAGACCCCAGCTGGGCCCCGAAGTGAGAGGGCCAGGAGGTATGCGGTCAACAATGCTTGACTCAGGGAGGAAGACGCCCCTGCCATGCATAGTCCCATGGGATGTTGGCTATCAACAACAAGGCAACTCCTATGACTAATTCGGAATGGGACGCAAGCATAGGATTGATCACCCTGTCGCTGGCCGCCTTTGGGGAGGGTGTATAGTGTGAAAGGCCGAAACACCCTAGGAACCAAAGGTACACTACTGACGATGCGCTCCACAAATTTCACCAGGCTCACTGTTCATGAACTCTTGGAAGTGCTTGCACAAAGGATAGTAACATCTCATCCTGTGTTCTTGGAATCTGCCCACGTGTCCCTGGCTTCGCTGCAGCGCTGCAGGCGGCGGAGAGCCTGGACACCTGCGTGGGCACAAGCGACGCGTCGCACGCATCACACGGGGTGGCACAGCAGGTAAACGCGCCCGCGTGTGAACGTGTGATGTTGTGTTAACGTGTAGAAACATGGCAGTGTGTGTGTGAAAGTGCTATATATAGGTGCTCGCTAACAGCACTTGCCCCTACAGTCTGTTAAGGCTATACGGGGGATCTTTATCTTTATACGTGTGTATATGTGGGAAGTGGTCGTGGAGCGATTAATGCGCTGGGCTACGAACCCGACGACCCGGGGTTGATTCCTGCTCATGGCCAACATCAGTGACGATTATTTGAACCAGTCCTGGGCATTCCCTAGGTCGGCTGGCCACCCACCCCCTCGTGTGCCTTGCCAGGCTTCATAGGTGCTCGCTAACAGCAATTGCCCCAACAGTCTGTTAAGGCAATACGGGAGACCTTTGTTTTTTGTGTGTATATATATCGGCATGCGTTTATTTATTTATTATTGGACATATGAACAGGTGTGAATGTGTGGACATGTGTGTTTCGGTGCAGTAAAAATCCACGAGGTTTCAAACTGACGTGGGTTAGGGCTCGACTCCTCTTCACAGCCCTGAGCCAGTGATGGAATTTCCATATTACTATGACGGGGCCAGTCTCTTCATAGGACGATCGCTCTAGACTTTACAAAAATTGTTAAATATGTTATCGACCATGTAAAGGTCAAGATCAAGGGCTGATTTGAGCGCAAACCCGGATTTAATCACTCAACTGTCTGATTGAACTGTAAGCTGCAGTGTCCACCTGGCTAAATAATTTTTGTGTGAACCTGCATTCTTGTATTGATCTACGAACCCATGCTGCGGTACGGATGCCTCATTGCGGTTTTGTTAAAACGAATGCAAGAACGTGCATGCACTTGTGCAGCCACTTTGCCGATCCACTGTTGTATGAGAGCCTCCCGGCAACGGGCAGGCCAAGGGAGTTATTTGACCATACTTCACCACGCTGGTCAGTGTGTTTTGGTGCAGGTGGCTTGAGGACAGATGTGAGAGCACAGAAAAAAATATGCAAAGCATATGACACATTATCTGGTTGCATTTATATTAATTAATTTTAAGAATGTTTGAATTGGTACAAAATAAATAAGTCGTTTTGATTGAGGTGTAATAATGGGTATTGAGAAGTGTGAACACAACAGAGACCTGTTAGCGTTCATTTTACAAGTCGCTAACTCCCCAGCCGCTCTGATGAATGTAGGAATAGTTAAGTGGTGGTTTTTATATTTTTCTCTAAAAGCATGAAGTGTTATTGATTCAGATACCGGGGCAGAAATACGTTACACGTAAGAGTTTAAGCTCTCTGTTGTGTCATGGTTTTTTTTTTGCAAATTAAATCGTGCAAAATGCACACATTGGCAGATGATACTAATGGATACATTTCCGAGAGCCTCTTCTGAATGCACTGGCATGGGCTACACGTGAATGATGTGCCAGACCAAACAAGGTTAAACTTGTTCGTGAAGTAAAAACACAGCCCTGCACGAACCTATGGACAGAATGTGACTATATTAATCAGATGAGCATTTGCTTAGGTAAACGAAACTATTTTAAACCAGAATCTTTTTTTTTATTTGATCATGTAAGGCCCACTGAGCTATACAGCGCTTTTTCAGAAGAGACCTGGCCACAAATAATAGCGCATCCAAGTGGGTTATCACGTGGAGATGTATGGCGGCGCAAATGCTCTAAACGCGTGGTTTCTAAATGCGGAGGGGAAAAACCGGAGGTCCTGGAGAAAAATCCACGCGACCACGGGGAGAACATGCAAACTTCAAATATACAATCCTGATTTGAAGCTTTTGTGACTGCAGAAATTACTCTCTGGTTCTTTCAGTAAAGTGACATAGAAAGAAAAAATACAGTAAATAATAGAACACGACGTTTTGATTGCAACACAAACAACCGTCATCAGGTGAGAACTGTATGTAAATATATATAGAGAGAGACAAATACAGACACGGAGAGAGACACATGCACAGAGAGAGACACACACAGGAGAGACACACACAGGAGAGACACACACGCAAAGAGAGACACATACAGAGACACACAGCCGCTGTGACGAGGTATTATATATAGAGAGGGGGGGTTGGGGCAGAGAAATTAGCATGTCAAATATACAGGCGTCAGGATCGAACCCACGACCTCCTGCATACCAGGCGAGGTAGTTAACATCTTGCCACCGTGGCGCCCCCAGATAGCATCACCCACCTGCTCGATACGTTTTTTGCAGTCACAAATATAGCAACCGATTGCATTATTCACGAAACCCATGTAAATGAAAACAAAAGCAACAATTTCCTTAATTTCGTGCTCAGGTTTTATTTTCCATGATTATCTTTTGAAATGTTACTATGTCAATGCAGTGTCACCAATATCTCGTTAGCTGTTTTATCACACGTGTTTCTGTTCCTCAGAAAATCTACTGAGTTGACTCCGTGTATGTTTCCACCAGGGAGGAAATCTGAGTGCCTGGAGAAAACTCACATAAATAGAGGGGACATCACCATGTTGTGTGTGTACAATGCCCACAGCCTTGTTCCTGGGCCATCAACTCAACAGAGTGAACCAAATGTGTTCATTGCGCTGTCTAAAATGCGTGTCAAACTAGGCTGTGTCCATTACACAAAAAATGGTGATGTGGTCATGTGACACGCAGGGCACGATGAGGGGACCAATCAAACGGTCACTTTGATTGCACAGTTCAGACATCGCCTCGTGCGTATTGTCGCCCCCAATATTCACGATCCTTCGTTGCTGCAACTGCTTCTGCAGCAGAGCGCCATGCTGAGACTCAAGGAGCAGCTGGAGCAGAGGACGCACGTGCTGCAGACGGTGATCCTGCAGCAGCAGGAGGAGCTGCGCCACATCCAGCAGCAGCTTGCCATGGTAGCGCTCCACGCTACGCACCGACGCAGTGACACCGCCTCCCACCCAATTTGTGGGGGGCAGGGGTCACACGGTTATCTCCATCGGCTCTGTACAGTTGAACCTCTGGTCACGACCATAATTCGTTCCATAACTTTGGTCGCAACCCGATTTGGTCGTGACTCGAACTTAATGTCCCCATTGGATTGTATGTAAATACGATTAATCCGTTCCATACTACGAACTGTATATAAATGTTGTTTTTTTTAAAGATTTTTAAGCACAAAAATAGTTAATTATGCCATATAATTCACAGTGTAATATTAAACTAAATGTAAAAACATTGAATTACACTGAGAAAACCTTGAACAACAGAGAAAACTAACATTGCCGCGTCAAGGTTTAGAATTGTTCAACGAGATGATTGTTTCGTTTGCTACATCAGTCGGTCGATTCTGAGAGAGAGAGAGAGAATATTCGTATGAGCAATTCATACGAATATTCTATTGAAAGTAAGTTAACAGTAATATTTGGGTACAGTATTGTTTTTGGAAGCATTCACCGTAATATCGTATGAACGTTTACTTCACCGCATCATCGTATGAATGATGCGAGAAGAGATTAACGAGTTCTTATATTAGACGATTTACGGCTTGAATGAGGGGGAGGGGTATGACTACACTCACAAAATTAATATCTTACTAGGAATTTTATATAACAAAAGTTATATACATAACTGTTACGCTTTGTGTAAGTCAACAACAAAAATGGCGCGGAAGGGGAACTCTGCCGCGGCCGTGTTTGATCGCCACCCGAGTTTGTGTTCGTGACCAGATTAAAAAATGTTGTGAATTTTTTGGTCGGAACCCGATTTGGTCGTGGTCAGAAGCGTTCGTGACCAGAGGTTCTACTGTATTTGGTTGCCCCCCCCCCCCCTGGTTTAGCCAGGATGTCTGTTCCTAGGTGCGGTTTGGACTCAGTGGAAACCATACGAGCTGAGTACGCGGAGAGTGAAGTACCTGGGCTCAGCTCTAGTGTGTGACCTTGTTTAAAGGGGGAGGAGGGGTAGGGGGGAAGGGAGGCACGACACAGTCAATTACTTTTTATATGTATGGGTGTTCCCTGAGTATTGCAGTTTCCTTCCATGTATATACAGAAAATATGTCAATGCCCCAATACGGCACCCTCAAAATGAGTTTGGTGCTTCTTTAGGAATTGGTCAAACATCCGAATGCCAATTCATTCCAAACACTACTGGTACAACTTGAGCACTCTTCATTGAGCTACTGCTCAATTGCTCAGCCGAGTACTACATTAGGTTATTGGGTTATAGGCGAAATGACAGACATAAAATACTCATGACTACAGGTACCACGACGCTTGTTTTCGAACAACTAAAATGATTGCACAGATGTCCAGTAGGGGCGGGTCAGAAAGTTACAACAACAAACAAAAAAAAAACACGATAGGAGTGCAAAGTATTGGAAAGGTAAGGAAACTGCTCAAAAATAAATACGTAAAATCGACAAAGTATACAAGTTCAACTTCAGCGTCTGTGAAACGGCGCAGGCTTTCATAATAGAGGTTTTTTTAATTAGATCCTGAGACATTTACATAAATATGTGCGCGCTCTAACCCAAAAACCTCTATTCTGGATGATGATATTGGTCACGTGTTAAACTGGCGCAGGCTCTGTCGGAGCAGTCGACGTCTCGAGCGCCGCCTGTGGCGGACAGCCCTGCGCTGGGAGCCCGGAGGTCGTCGGCGATGGTGCTCCCTCACCCCACTACCCCCGACTCTCCGGGAGTCCGTGGCCCAGGCCTGCCCACCGTGCTGGAGTGCAGCACCACCCAGCCGCAGTGGTAAGGGCAACGCGGGAGCAGCAGCAGCAGCAGCAAGCAACAGCAGCTGCGAGTGCACGAAATATCACAGCGGATCGTGATGTGGGGAGTCCCAAAAAAAGAACACTCAACATATTCATCCGTTTGCCTTAAAAGAAACGGAAACATTTAATAGTTGACGTTTTGGGTAATGGGCCTTCTTCAATGCGTTCGTTTTATCGGTAATATTCCAGCTGAGTGGTGCAGTGGTTAGCACACCTGGCTAGACTCAGACCATTTGGTTTTTTCGGTAAAGTCATGTAGGTAAAAAATATTTAATTTAGTTGTTTTCATTTATTTTATTTTATTTTTAAATCCTTTATATTAAGTTCGCGTGCTTGCTTGCTTGCTTAGGACCGTGCAAATCTTTCGGTCGTTTTTTAACCCACTTCCCGTGATCCAATCGAGCTGACATTTTCCACACAGACTCGTTGTGCCAGACAATTATTGTTCGTGAAAAAAAAATTCCAAAAATTTTACACTTTTTAGGCAAAAAAACATTATTTTACATATATTCAAATAGAACGCATTCATGGCTTTGGCTGAACGTCAGAGTGTAAGAGCCCAGAGCGTAACCCCTCCACAGGCCGTGGCGGAGTAGCGCAGTTGGTAGCGCCCTCGCTTCCCATGCCAAAGGTCGCGGGATCGATCCCCGCGTCCTCCACAGGCGAATATATTTTTAAATCCTTTATATTAAGTTCGCCGCCACGCATATAAAGGATTTATAGTGAAAAACTTTGTTTTTACGGGTTTACTTGTTTACCTACATGACTTTACCGAAAAAACCAAAGAGTATGAATCTTTGCAGTCACGAAAGCTTCAAATCTAGAATTAGACTCAGACCGTCAGAGTGTGAATAAAATAAGAGGGAATAAAATAGTGTACCGGTTTACGGGAATTGTTACAGCATTTCTACTTAAATCAATCATCACCCATATTCGTGTGTATCTGTTCACCCTTTATTGAAAATCAAGCATAGTTTTGAGCACTATTGTCAATGTAAATTCATTATATAATTTCTTGATGTGCTCTCTGGTAATGGTCTTGGCTTGATAAAAAACAGATAAGTTTCATCGTTCAGTTGTGCAATGCGTTTCAATAACAAAACAGAATTGTAGCACTTCAAATATGTAAAGTTCCTGAGATATCATTACATATTTCTTCCTACTCTGCCTAGAATAGGATAAATAAACTAAAATATAATGTTCGATTCACACCGTACATTTTAGTCAGTGCACTATGTATTGAAAAGTCAGTTTTAAGCTAAACAAAAACTTTACTGTTGAGCTCTTAGCTCTTTATCATCACAGGTGGGCATTTACAGTAGCAGCCAAATAAATCTAAAGCACGTTTCTAAATGCGGAGGGCAAAACCAGAGGACCCAGAGAAAAGTCCACGCGACCACCACATGGAACGAAAACTTGCACACTCCAAATATACGGGCATCGTCAGGGTCGGGATCGAACCCACTTCCTCCTGCATACATTTAAGTTGCACCGAATGCTGATGCTTTAAAAAACAAATGTGTGTTTTATTTTCAGGCACATGCATGGACAGCCCCATCAGGTGGTGACCACGTTAAGTGGTACCCCCCTCCTGGTTTCAGCTTCCATTATGATGCCATCCTTCACAACCTTCAGTCAACAACCATTGATGCACCAGCATCAGCAGCATCACCTGCATCAACAGCAGCACCAGCAGCAGCACCAGCAACAGCATCAGCAGCAACAGCATCAGCAGCAGCACCAGCAACAGCAGCAGCAGCAACAGCATCAGCAGCAGCACCAGCAAATAATTGACCAACAGTCACAAGCGCAGCAGAGCTGTGCTCAAAACAAGGGACAGCACTTGAGGGTACAGGCCCAACCGAGAGCAGAAGGGCACCTGCAGCCGACACTGCTGATGCCGACCATGCTGCAGATACAACAGCAGCAGCAGCAACACCAGCAGCAACATCAACAGCAGCAACAGCAGCATCAACAACAGCATCAACAACACCAGCAGCATCAACAGCAGCACCAACAGCACCATCATCACCAGCAGCATCAACAGCAGCAGCAGCAGCAGCAACACAACGGCACCAGCAGCAGTGCAGGCGATCATCCTCAGAGAAACACCAGTCTCCATCGCCACGACATCAGCAGCCCCAGCAAGAGCAAACGTTGCACTCTCCAAATTTGCAGTATCACCGTTCAATGAGCGCGGAGCCGCAACATAGAAGTCATCAGCAGCATCAGCAACCACAGCAGCAGCAGCAATTGCTATCTCAAGAGAGGCTGTTGTGGCTGGCGAGTGGACAGCAGGATTCCCAGGGCTATGTGCACGCCACGTACCACGCGCCCCACGGGGTGGGCGGTGTGGCTGGGAGGCAGCGCGTCCTGCACGCGAGGTCGAGCGGGCGACAGCAGCCACAGCCGCCTGTCGACCGGTTGCAGCGACAGCATCCCGGGGGGCAAACACAGCAGCAGCAGCAACAGCAGCAGCAGAGCCCCAGGTGACGCCCCTGCACAGATTGGCTGTCGCTTAGCCGGTGGGCCAGAAATGTATAAGCTTGGAGTTGCCCCCAACCACACAAGTAGGAGCTGTGCAGGTCGTTTGGCAGCGGGGGAGGCTTTTGTGACCAAGTCTCGAGGCGTGAGCGCATTGTGCAAGAAGCAAGGATCTGTTGAAGGTGGATTCCCAGAAGTGGGGGTGACCCTGGATGTTGAAATCGCAAGGCCTGTTCCATGTCCTTCCTAAAAACACAGCACTTCTTGCAGAACTGTGCTTCCCAGCTTGTGACCAGCACCGTGCTGACAAATTTGTGGAGCTTATTAGAGTGCCTTGCACTGAGCACCCGTCATCACTTGTTCAGCCACCTGTGATTTTGATTTCATGTTAATTATGCTGGCATCTTACCCAAAGTGCAGTTTTGCATCAGCCCGAATGTGCTTAGCTACCAAGATTTTGACAAGCTTACGCTTCGTGGTGCTACACATCGTGGTCCTACCATGCGGTTGGTAAGTACAATGCACTGTGGGTAATTGACTCTGCAATCCCACAATCCCCTGCAAACCTTAGGGGCATGATACTCCAGGGCATGTTTAGGGCGGTCGTCACCAGCAACACATTTACAGTGAGCAACTATGTCAACTTGTCGTGGCAACAGCAAACGGTGGAGTTCCGCCTGGCCAATGAAAAGAGCGTTTGTTGAAATGTGTGTTTGATGGTTTGTGGAGTACACAACATCAGATAGACATGTGACCGCTATCTGTTATCTCATTTGCCCACGATATGGAGCGATGGTCAGATTTGTCTCGATTTGGAAATGTTCTTTTGCAGAGAGAATGGCGCGGATAAACCAGTGATGACAATGAAAGGCAGCAACAATCGCCATACAATCACCCTAGTGCATCATGGCCTTTATAAATGTTGTTGATAGTGTTAAATTGATGTGCATGCAGGTGTAGATCAGCCACGTACAATGTCTGCACACCTGGCATCCTGACGTTGCCAGCAAACAACAGTGAGCCAAATTAAAATGGATTTATATCGACTGTGTGTTTGCCAACAGTAAATGAAGGCTAACATAAAATGTTACGTAACTATTTGCAGTATACATATATATTTCTAAAGAACATCACTCTTTTCATTTTCAGAACACAGGTGTAGTTAATCCCTTACCTATAACTAGCACGGTGTGCGAATGTAGGGCTACTTTGTAAACAAGACACGAGTGCACTGGACCGGTTTAATGGGCAACACTAAAAGCCTCCAATTCACCATTGTGCAACAATTTCAATTGTTACTGATTCACGTAAAAAAAATTATATTTACTTTTGTAGGTCACGATATTAACATCACAATGACTATGGTGAAAGGGTGCTTGCATATCTATCATGAATGCGACTTGCTTTGTGTGTTGTTTGTTAACTTCAATGCCAGTATTATTGCCAGGGTATTTCCGTTCCGTATGTACATATTGTGTTCGTTTACACCCACACTAACAGGAAATTGTCAGTCTCAAAGCAGAAAATCTCAGTATAGATGGTCGGATGAGTGGTGGCTGATGACCGCTCAGTTTGGCAGTCCGTGAGCCTGTGGTGGAAATTCCATATTATTATGACGGGGGCGGGGGGGGGGCAGTTCATCCTTAACACAATCACAATTGACTTCCTAATGAGTGGCGCTCACAAGGAAGAGCGATGGCTATTTTGACTGATTCTGGACCAACAATTCCTTGCCATATAATCTTCACGATAACAGAAACATGAACCAAATTAAGGAATGGCATCGGTTCATTCCACTTACATTTATAGCAGGAAACAGAAGGGCATTTTGACGTAGATGAATAATTATAGTGCAAATTATACTCGAGTAATTGACATTTAGAGAGGCCAGTCATTTTGTACTGTGAACATGATGCGATTTGCCAGGAAGGCGTGTGACCTTTAAACCCTGAGTAAACCAGGCTGGGGCAGCTAATGTCTCTTTAAGGAAAATGTATTTATGCATCGAGCCATTATTACACAAGCGAGGCTTGGCTAGTCCGGTAGAGCTTTAAGAAAACATTCTGAACATGTGTCTGCGTTTGTATATGTAGTTTTGTTCTTTTACATACAAAAATGTGTCCAAATGGATTCTATAAACATATATATATTAAAAAAACATTAGAATGTAAATGTTTGGTATGTGCATAATCAAAACATCGTATACGATATCCTTTTTTTTTGGGGGGGGGGGTGGAATAAAGCAAATATGACAATCATAATTGAAATGCGTAAGTCTCGATGTCTCGATTTATGTATATGTAGTGAGTCCAACTGAGTCACAGACGTTCCTCTTCAGAGGCAACACATTTATTACACAACACGTATATACAAGATACAGCCTAGGGTGGTGACCACCCAGCTAACTCTACTACCATACAGGAGTTATGGCTACGACGGACCGGACCCGTACTCGGGTCCCGGGCCACGTGTTGTTGCCTCTTCAGACGTAGAACGTGGATCTTCCAGCTTGCAGAACGAAGCGACCCCGGTCCCTCCCAGGGACCCACCTTTTATCCTCCCGGGTCGGGGCCGGCTCCGCCCTGGGCCCCGCCCACCTTCGAGAGCGTTCCAGCTCCCTCTCGATCCCTCTCGATCCCTCGAAAGAGCTCTCCCCCTCCCCCCCACCTGGGGCCTTCTCTGTGGACACTCCGGATCACGTGTCTACAGGGTCAACCAGAGTGCCATGGCCCGGGGCAACCCTGCCCCTGGGCTGACACTCTCCCACTCACCCTTGTGGGAGCCCGCACTGCACTCTATGCGTGGTGCCCGCGCTATCCCAGCGCTCACCAGGCCCCGCTAGGGCTGGTGCTACACCCACCCACGGGGTGTACGCGATGACGGTGCATCGCACGCCGTGCTGTGCTAGAGCCGGCCTCACTGCAACACACACGGTGCTGTCCGCGATGTAAGGACATCCCACGCCATGGCCCTCTAGGGCCCGCACCATACAGTGACGTCCCAAATGTCACTACATATACTTGCACATTTTCATCGCAATAATATTATCTGAATAAAAGTTTTTTGGGTTAGATCGCGTAAGTATAAATGTGTCGTAACCCTCCACCACCCGACACAGCCGGTATGGGATTTGTCACGTAAACAAAATGTGCCAATTATACTAATAGGGGTTTTCCCATTTTTTCTGGCAACAAAACTGACACCTTTTGCAAGGAATCATGCTTACATTAACCACAATACTTGCAGTCAAATGCAAACAAAAAACAATACTCTGATTTTTTTTTTTGCATTTGACTGCAAGTATTGTGGTTAATGTAAGCATGATTCCTTGCAAAAGGTGTCAGTTTTGTTGCCAAAAAAAGGGGGAAACCCCTATTAGTATATTTTGGTACTGGCAAAGAAGGTCCCATGATGTAGCTGCTCACCCCGAGCTCTCATTACTCTGGTAGTGCGTTGTCTTTGAACTGTGCACCTTTTGGTGTCATCTGGTCGAACACCATATGAGACTAGGCTCTAAAGAAAGCTATCTCTGGTGTGGACAAATCAGTTTCAAAGACAATGCATAAATTACTGGCAAAGGAGGTCCCATGATGTGTCAATTAGTTACTCCTTCAGCCCACCGGTGTGTTGGAGAGTAAATTCGATGTGAATCGCTTGTCAAGGAGTTTGCTGTTTTATACAACACATTCGTGACATCGCAATAGCAAAAGCAGATGCCACCAATGATCAATGTGAATGCCTCGAGACAGCATTTTAAATCTCTAACCTGTCGTTGATTCGGTTACAGTTAACTCCTTTCTCTCGTATACATTCGCAATGCGTTGCGTCTGAAACATTAATTTAAACACATGTCCTGCTACGCATGATGTGCACAAAGAATGTGCATCACGTTTATAGAGCGCATTCACCTTCTCGATATGCAAACACATTCTGAACACCGTAAAAAGCACGTGGTAAATGTAACACCGTGGACTTAATAAATATTTATAACAAATCTGTGTACCAATAACTGTTCAAACCTAACCTTAAACATGGAAGTAGTTTACACTATGAGATCTCTTTTACCACTGGCAAAATATAGTAGTAGGTTTTTACCCTTTTAAACTGGTACAAAATAAAGGTGTCAGTTTTGTACCAGTTTAAAAGGGTAAAACCCTACTACTATGGCAGTAGTTGTCAAGCCAAAGTATCTTCCTACTCAAACGAGGAGTGGGGTGGCACTCATCTCTGTCGATAGCCCCAAGCTATATTCTTGGATCTTTCGGAAAAGTCACGTACTGTAGAAGGGAAAAAAATAAATAAATAAAAAACATTATTAAAAAAATTGTTATTACGTTAATTTTTCTTCCCCTTCTACGTGACTTTACCGAAAGATCCAACAATATGAATCCCTGCAGTCACGAAAGCTTTAAATCGAAAGCCCCAAGCTAGTTGTAGAAATTCCACATTGCCACGGTTGGGTACGGCAGGCAGTATATCCATAAATAAATCGCCGAGATGCAGACAATCCACGCAGTCACAGTGGCGAGATGTTAACTACCTCGCCTGGTGTACAGGAGGTTGTCGGTTCCATCCCGACCCTGATGTATGTATATTTGGAGTTTTCTTGTTCTTCCTGTGGTCGCTTGGATTTTACTCCGAGACCTCCGGTTCTTCCCTCCACGTTTATAATCAACGCGCGTTTAGAGTATTTGGCTGCTATAAATGTCCACGTGATAAGCCACTTTGTCGTTGCGCTATCATTTGTGGCGAGGTCGCTGTTGAAAAAGAGCTATATCGCTCAGTGGGCCTGATTTGGCCAAATAAAAAATAGTTTAGTTTTAGTCATCATTATCGTCACCCATGGGCTATCCTTTTGCCGGAGGAAGACTTCCCCAAGCTGTTATCCATCTCTCAGGGTGGATTTTTTATCCAAGAATCTCACTTCTGTCTAGAAGCTCATCTCGTTGCTGAATTGTATTCGTTACTCGTCATGGTCTGAATTGTTGAATACAGTCGAACCACCATGCACATCACTTAAAGCAAATATTTTTTAAAAAATGTATTGAACACTGTCGAACCCCAATTAGACGTCGCTTAAAGCAAAATTGTTTAAAAAAAAAGTGTTGAACACAGTATAACCCCTATTACACATCGTTTCAAGCAAAATTGTTTTTGAAAAGAGTGTTGCTAGAAATGGGCATGCGGTGGCGCTAGACAATCGAGCTTCACGAAAAAGATGCTTGTACAGAACACGACACAACTGCAGCGTGCTGGAGAAGCTGCCAAGCACGTGGAGTGGACATCGTGCCTCACAATACGCAGTCCAACTCGAAATGGCATCGGGGAGATATGAAGATCATGTTTATCTCAAGGCCGTAGCCATGGAGTCAACATTGGGGGGGGGGATAAAATCTTCCAAGGAGTCTGGGGGTCCCCCCCCAGATAAAAATCTAAATTTGAAAACGAATTTCCTGCCATTTCCTGCCTAAAATATAAAAAAAATTCACTAATGTCTAATAGTGTATTGTATTCTATTGCTCTGTTTTTTTTTTACATTTCTTCTTTCATTGTATGTAATGGCAGAGATTCGGGATTAATAAAGTACAACCATAACCACAATCATATAAACAGAAAGCTATTTTATAGCAATATATTGGCGGGGGGGGGGGGGGACATTTTGAGCATATTTGAATATTATAATTACGACCTTGGTTTATCTCATTCGCCGAGCTGTCGTTGACGTGTTTTTACAATGCTGGCCCGGTTTGACGAGTTTTACCTGGGTCTGTATCATTCACGTTCACTGTACATTGTTTCAGATAAAAAAAAACTCGAAGCAACGCAGATCAACAACAAGAGGCGAGGGAAGGCGGTTCCACAACTCCAGGTCTTTTGAGCAACCACGGTGCATGATTCCACATTTAGCGATCATTTCCGTTCAAATGCAAATGAAGCGCTTACACGCTAGACGTGCCCGATTATTGGTAAACACGTTCAAGGTCCACGCAGGGCGCGGTTCCTTAACTTCAATCGGCGTTCTCTGCATCACATGGGACAGAGACAAAGATCCCCCCTATAGTGCTGAACAGACTGGCGGGGCAAGTGCTGTTAGCGAGTGGCATCTATGAACGCCGGCACGGCACACGATGGGGTGGGTGGAAAACACCACGCTCGCACCAGGTACACATTTTGAGGCTGAGTCGACCTAGGGGAGGCCCAGACCGGTTCAGATAATCGTTACCGGTGTTGGCCGTGAGCGGGGATCGAACGCGGGTCTCCGGGTTCGTAGCGAAGCGTAGCGCTAACAGCTACTCCACTATCGCTACCGCATGGGACACACGGACACGTACACACACCCTGAGATTTCCATCTTAATTTGAATCAGTGCCCTAACGTCACTCGGTACACACACACACACACTGCACACAAATAGCTCTCTATCTTAAATTACATCAGATCTCTCCAGACCACGTGGAAAACGCGTTTAGACACACACGCACAGAGCCTTGATTTGAATCAGCGGTCTCTATGCCACCTGCAACGTATTTACCAATCATCAGGTGCGTGGAGCGCGTAACGACCTGTATTAAAACGGAGAGGATTTGTAAAGGGGAAAGACTGAGCACGGAATATTTAACGTGCTCGTATTTGAACTTCAACAAGAGTCAAAAAGTGTTGCGGTTTGGAATGGTCTCCACGAGTCCGGCGATTAAAGGGAAGCCCAAAGGTCAGATGGTTGGTAGACTGCCAGGGCATATGGTGTTCGGGGTCGCTGTGTCTGCCGTGCAGTAGCAGCTGCTGCTGCAGGATCTGGTCGAGGGGGAGAATGCGTTGGTTGCGAGGTTGATGATGATGATGGTGGTGGCATGAACGGCTCTGCCCTTAATGAGGTCTTGATCATCTTCTTGGTTCTTTCGGTAAAGTCACGTAGAAGGGAAGTAATAAAATAATAAAAATAAAACATAATAAAATAATTCTTCAGACGCTGTCTCCCCGACAGACCTGGTCTTCACCTGAGGACGGCTGCTTGCGTTGTGGCCGAAACGTCGTGAGAATTATTTTATTATGTTTTATTTTTATTATTTTATTACTTCCCTTCTACGTGACTTTACCGAAAGAACCAAGAAGATGAATCCCTGCAGTCACGAAAGCTTTAAATCGAGAGATCTTGATCTTTAACTCCCCCCCCCACCACCACCTTCTCTGAGCACCTGCTATGGACAAACACACCAC